ACCCAGATCAAACCGGAGCGGGATCACTGGCGCGGATGGAACGGCCGCGGCGGACTCGGTCTCTCCCTGAAAGAGGTGATGACCACAATGATCGACCTGTTCTCAGCCCAGATGTTCCTCTGGGGCATCCTCCACTGTGACCCGCACCCGGGTAACATCTTCGTCCGTCGCCAGCCCTCGGGTCAACCCGAGCTCGTCCTGATCGACCACGGCCTCTACATTCACATGGACACAGACTTCCGCCACCAATACGCCCGCTTCTGGAAAGCGCTCCTCACCTTCGACAACGCCGCCATCCGCGACATCGTCAAACAATGGGGCGTCACGAACCCCGATATCTTCGCCTCCGTCACCCTGATGCGCCCCTACCAAGGCGGCGACCTCTCCACGCAGCAACACTTCGAAGGGCTGTCCAAGAAGGACCGCGCCCAGCGCCACTACGAAGCGCAACAAGCCGCGCGCAAGGGCATCCGCCAGATCCTGGGCGACGAAAGCAAATGGCCCAAGGAGCTCATCTTCATCGGCCGCAACCTGCGCATCGTCCAAGCCAACAACCAATTCCTCGGCTCCCCCGTCAACCGCATCAAGATCACAGGCACCTGGCGTCCCGCGCCCTCGTCGAGTCGCCCGATCTGCCCCTCAACGAGAAAATCCAGAACTACGGCCGCCACCTTCTCTTCCGGCTCGTGCTCTTCACCAGCGACATCTACTTCTATTTCACGAAGATCCGGCAGTTCCTGAGGCTCGGCGGCGGAATGGAGGATTCGCTGGAGGCGCAGATGCAGAGCATGGCTAAGGATATGGGGGTGGATCTGCAGCAGAATGTGTTTGAGGGATAGGATCGCTTTTACCTTCACTCGATGTATTATACTCCTACCTATAGATTCCTCACTCCAAGTCTTATAAAAACGTAAATATACGATTGAATCTTGCATGCATCGGCTCCGTATACATCAATATAAATCTGACATATCATATTCCGTTTAGGTTAAAACATATATCTCATTCCTCATAGGTAGCATTTCATCAAACATGTCCAAAAGCTCAAGCTCGCTATGCTCCAGACAAGAAAAAATCAAATATGAGTACAGTATCTCAGAACTAAAATATTAACCCCGGAAAAGATTATATGTAAGAAAAAAGAAAGAAAGATCAAAAGGGTATCTACCACGCCAACGAACAAACTAGCGAAACTAAAGCGATTGATTCTCTCTGCTACTCCCACCCGGAGAACCCAACCGGTTTCCACTCCTGGCCCGGATACGCCGTGCTCGACATCAGGATCTCCTCGCTAGAATCGTCGTCGGTCTGGACGGGCAACTCGACCGGGGCGTCGTTGTTGAGGACACGGCCTTCGCCGCGCGTGGGGTGGCTGTTCCCCGTGGATTGGGAGAGGGGCATGGCGGGACGAGTAGTAGTAGCGGGAATGTCGCTGAGAGGGGGCTTTTCGTCGCGGAGATTTTCCTGGGGTGGGTCTGTGGTGTCCTCTTCGTAGGTGGGTAGTCGGTCGTTGCCGCATTGGAGGACGCCCTTGGTGGTCTGCTGGCGCCAGGCGAGGGCGTTGTCCGAGGGTTTGTCCTCGTCGGATTCGCCGGGGATGGTCAGTTTCCAGGGTCGTTCTTGGTCGCCGATGCGGCTGGTGCGAGGGTTTCGGCGGAAGATGCCCAGGTGGTAGGCGGGATCGGAAGTGTCGGTGCTGGGGATGTGTCTTTCGTCCGGGCGCGGGGGCGAAGGTTTTCGGGCTGCGGGAGCGGATGTTTAGGTCTTGGGCGTAGGATCTTTCTTCGGAACGGCCGCGGGACGGTGGGGATTGTGGGGCGGGACCGACGGGGGGAGGCGATGGGGGATGCGACCGGGGGTGGTTGATATTGGGGGGTTTGCGGCGTTGTGGGTGGTCGGAAGAGCGGTGATTGGGGTGTGAGTCGACCATTCCCACTACCACTGCCACTGCCGCTGTGTCGATGCCGGAAATAATCGGTCGGCGACGGAATGCGATTACTCGTGATGGTATTGCTGGCCACGTCTTCGACGGTGATCTGCTGCGTCAAGGGAGTGCCGGGTTCGGGGGGATCATTGAGCCGTGAGAAGGATTCCGGAGCGAAGTATCCTTCCGCGGGTGGCCGTTGGCCCTGGAAGGAGTGGTTCTCGATATTTGATCGGGGGCGATCAAACTCGGTAGAGGGTAAGTGAGAGTGATCCGAGGTGGACGTGCGCTGTGATGAGACGGGATAAAGCCGGTCCATTGAATGGGCCTGACGCTGGATGTGCACCACGGGTGGAACGTGGGTTTCGGCCGCTCTGGATTTGGGCCGGGCATGTTCCCCTCGACGGTTGAAGAAGCCCTAATTGGAATGATTAATATCACTGCGTTGTGAGCTTTGACAAGCAGCTTGGGGAGGGATCTTTGTGTGTGCGTGTGGGACACATACACTGATTTTGTCCAACGCCTTCCGGTGTGGCTGACCCGTCTTGTCACTGTGGGATTCAGAGCCCCGAGAAGGGCGACGAATTTTGTTGCCGACAACCTTCAGCTTCTCCATTGTTGATAACGCGGTCTGCGGTGGCGCTTGCTTTGAGGCAGGCTGGACGGGCGGGTTGGAGCGAGCATGGTCGGTCGATTGGGAAGTCTCGCGGGGTCTGCTACTGCCTGACAGAAGAGGTCGAAAGACACCGCTAAGTCGGCGCGAGGCATGTTCAGCCTCATCGCCTGGCCAGGGGCTCTTCGGCCTGCGCCCTCGATGATCGGGTCTAAGTATGCCGCCAAGACTTTGGTGCTGACCCTCGCCCCCGTCCGACAAGAACGACACTCGCGACGAGTTCGCCGGGCCTGGCGCAGTCGAAGTTTAACGTTAATTCCGTGGGAATTTGTTGAGCAGCGTGGTTACTCACCGAGTACTTGGCGCAATGGCCGTGGTGGGTCTCGATCAGCCTCGAGGGTGCCCAAGGATGAGACGGAGGGCACCGGTTGGAGTCGCACTTGGACGCTGGAGCCCCGCCGATGGTGACTCGGACCTAGCAGTGTTGCCTTATTAATCTCGTCGTTGCTACGTGGGACATCCCTAGTTTTGCTTTCCATGACCGAGGAGTAGAACCGTCTCCCCATCGACGACGGTGCTCGAGTAGTCGTTTCGCATTCGGGAGACGGCTCGTCGCGCGCAGGTGGTGGCTGAATGTTATTTTGCTGGCCCATGGGATTGTCAATACTGTTGGCCTGCTCCGTCCACGACAGGATTTTGTCGCCAATGTCCCGCTGGTCGCTTTTGTACTCGGGGATCAACAAAGGCGCGTCATTGATTGCCACCTGAATCGGGGTCATCGGGGGAGATTCGCTCCTCCTCGACAAAGGCTTTCGGGGAGGACAATCCCTGTCAGGTTGCACGGGCGCTAATCGATGCGCCGAGGATGCACTCTCACCAGGCAACTCCCAATGCTCCTGGGACCCTGTCTGCGCCAGGACGCCAGAGTCAGACGCCTCCAATTCCGCCATCGCTCCAGCGGTACTTCGATAGGACAATGCAGGACCTGATTGACCTGATCGCGAATCCGCATCACTGAAGCCGAGTGCAGCAATCACTTCCTTGTCCAGATCCTGAGTAAGACCGGAACGGTGGCTATGGATGGCGGATGGCTCAGGATCCGTGTGATATCCCGTGTCTGCTGCCGCGCCCTCAACCGGTCTACGCGCCGAGACCGACGGGACTTGTTTGCGCTTGATGTCCAAGCTCAACCGATTCACTTGGCTGTCTCGAGCGCCATTCATCCCTGGGAGACTTCCAAAGTGGACCGTCCGTCGCTTGTCGTGGTCCTCTTCGGCTAGGTCTAGAGCAAGTTCTGAGAAGGAGAATTTCCTGCGATAACCACGACTCGATTCAAACCCCTACAATCACCATAACATTAGATGAGTTTAACCAGACGAATTAAGACCGAAAAAAGTATCAACCCGATGTACAGACATCAATCATGTCACATTCTGAGTGCGGAGATATGTTCAATTACAGACATGGTATCAATAGAAACATAAACAATAACGGCAACGATCAGAGACATGCTGGCGCAGCGATGGATAATCCATAGGTTCCCACACGCTCCCTGCACTGCTGAACATGATATACCACCCATAATAAGAAAATTAAGGCTCTACCTTGTCTGACCCTCCACCTTTAAATTTACTCCTGCCCTTGGCAAACAGACCCTTGGCGGCCTCGCCAGCTTTACCGCCGAAGACACCAGCGGTGTGGAGGAAATCCTTCCCTCGTTGTTCCACATGCTGTTTATTCATCATGGAACCAAGATGAGTCGAAGGACGTCTCACATGGCCCGAGCCGGACGACCCTTCCTGGTGAGACGACACGAGGTTCCCAAGAGACGACAGTTTAGGGAATTTGGCCCGGGGTACAGGGTACTTGGACTCATCCGTTGTCTGTTTCAAGCTTTGCTGCACAACATCTGCGTATTCAGGGTGAGCATGGATCGTAACCCGGAGCCAATTATTTAGACCGGTATCGATTGTCACAAACTGGTCTCGGGTTTTGTTGAACGCTTGCACCCGTTCGTCAGAGGTCTTCAACTCGAGGATCTCACGGAAGCCAAGCAAGCTTGCTTCGATAGATGGCGACTGCGTGGGTGCAGACGTAGACGCTACGGCATCCTGGTTTGCAACGGCTGGGGAGTAGGCATCTCCAACGGTTTGGGCATTGACAACTTCTGGAAGATGTCGACCCGAAACGATGCTATTATCATCGGTGGCAGACGGGGGGATGATCGTCAACTTAGGCTTCTCAGGCACATGATCACGGCCAGCCTCATCATGTGTCTCAACTGGCGGAGCCACAGTGTCGGGCTCCGGCGATGGCTGAACACTATTCTCATCAACTACAGGGAATTGCCCGGGGATTGGCCCTACAGGAGGGGATTGGACCCCTGTCGCGGGCGCAGCCTGTTCCTCGGAGGAGGCAGACTCCCAAGAAAATCGCCTCTTCAACTTAGGGGTTGTGTCTTGCGGAGCCGCATTCAGTGTTAGAGTAGACGCCTGCAGTGGGCTACTGGAGTATAAATCCTGGGACTCGTTCTGTGCGGAGTTGTATCCAAGGACGGGTTTGAACTCCCCCTGGGGACTGGCACTAGTTGTTTCGTTCCAGTATCGTTCGTATTCGCTCGGAATGAGACTATCCTGCCGACTTGTTTGTGGCCTGGACCGGTCTTGTGGGTCCGGTTCGTCAGATGGAGTGTTCTCCCGACTCAATGAACGAATGATCTCCTTCCTTAATCGGTCACTCTCGGTGTCTTGCGGGGAATTTTCCGTACTCAGGGAGGGAACAATGGCGGGAATGGAGTTTTCAGGGGGAGACATGTTACCACTGATTTTGAGCGGTGCAGGTCGATCTTCCGCGGTTGTGGTAGTTGGTTGCAGGGTGGATTGTTGATATGTTGGCGTGGACTGGTCCTGAGGTGAGTCAGATGGAGGGTCCGATGACATTTCTGCTAATGATTCGGGAGCGATGGTATCGTTATTGGTGATTATTGGCCTTCTCAAAGGACTATTATCTGGACTGGGAACACTCAGATCACGGCGATGACCAGGCTTAAAGCCTCTCGGTGGAGATGAACTTTCCGGCTCTTCCTCAATCGTTGGCGTCTGCTCGTTTGGGCCACGAGGAGGAATGATCGGGCTTATTACCGACGTGCTATTGCTATCCGACCGTGCAATGCTATCGATGGTAGTGCTGGGTGTCTCTGGAACATCGAAAGCTTGATTAACCACCGACCGAAAACCGACGGAGGGGTGATGGTGTAATTGAGGATCTTGCTGCTGTGGTTCTACGGATTGGTCTTTTTGAGCGTCAGACGAAGGAGCACCCGTGAGATCTGCGCCGAATCCTGAGAGACGTCTGACATCTGGGAGCCCAATAATAGGAACATCATTCTGAGGTCTGGAAGGAACACTCTCGTTCTCGGGTTGCTTGCCTTGTGCTTCCTGTCCTGCCGGGCTGGTTATAGGTGCTGGTTCCGTGGAGGCCCGACTCAGGCTTGGAGGGTTGCCTGACCCCGCTGTCTGCTCGCGTAACCGGCTATAGATGTCGGCTGGGCGTGATGGGAGGTTGTAATTCTGTTCTTCTGCGTTGCGGTCGGTTGACCGACTACGGCTATCCGCCGCAGGACCGGCCCCTAGCGTCATCACCTGGTCCATTGACCGAGAGCGATCCATTCCAAGAGCCCAGGGCTTAGGTATGTTTCTTGACGCTACACTTGGGAGGTCCCCAGTGCTTTGATTCAAAGGTTGTTGTTGTTGTTGTTGCGGTAGAGGAGGCGTCAGATCCTCGTCGTAATCGTCGTACTCATCGTCACCCCAGTCATTGCCATCGTAAGAGATCTTCTTCGCTTCAACCCAGCGCTTTGTCTTCGCGCGATTCACGTTCGTTTTAAATGATATGGGTGTGCCGCCACGTGGTTGGGGCGACAAAGGGTTATCGGCGCCGGGAGAATCCCTAAAGATGCAGGAAAGCCTGATCAGCAAAATTTTAAGGCGCCGAGGATGCATCCACCTGCATGTACTTACACCGGCTCGTAAGGGTTCTGAAATGGGCGAGCCATTATATATGAGGGTCAGGTCGCCTGAACGAAATGGACCGCATCAAGCAAATGCCGCGTTCACTCGTTATATAAAGCTGCCAAGATCTGATATGGCGTGCGATATAATATTTGGCCCAAGTGGAATGGTCAAGCTGCGAGGATGGAGAGGAAGAAGCAAGTAACAAGCTGAGTGGTACAAGCGATGACGTGTGCGCGCCGGCTCAGCCGCGGGCAGGAGATTGGGGGCGTCTGACGTGTTTGAAATGTATGTGTAGACCAATCCAAAATAGAACAATCGTCGTATCGTGTGCGTTCGTCACCAAAATGAGTGGGCTGCCGCGGGTGTGCCCCTGAGGGTATCTTAAGTATTCGCCTGCCTAAAGCGAATAGATAGCGACGACTGTGGCTGGTAAGGCACCGATGTGGCGGGTCCGTCACGTGGCCCTAGCCGCCCGCGCCTTGCCTATTTTCGGATGGGCGACGAATTCCCCGGAATTGAGAAGTACGTACGTCTGCGGCCATTCTCTGCGAGATCTCACCGAGCCCCGTTCTGTCGGAGACTAACGATCTCTGCAAGTGCAATGATATGACACTCCCATAACGCTCCTACACCGCTTGTATCACCTCCTTTCCGCTCATTCTCCCTCCCTTCACTGTTGCCTTGTGGCTTCGACGAACGGACACGTCTACAGGTTGCCTCCTTATCGATTAGGTTCACTCCGTCTACTCGCATAACCCATTCCCTTAGATCCCGGGGGCTCGCTTACCTTCCCCCTCGAACTATCACCCGGCCTCCACCTCGCTATACGCTTCTAGCGAAATGACCGGCCCATCGATTCAGGATCGCACCGGCGAGTTCCACGCCATCTTGGGACAAGCCCAGAAACGGGTCGCCACCACCAAGGTTGGATCCCAGCGACAGGCGCTTCTATCGGATTCACAAAAGAGACAAGCCAATGGGTCCGTGAACGGAGGCGCGCAACCCGGAAGGAGATCCGAGTTTGCTAGGAGGGCTGTTGAGATTGGACGGGGTATCACTGCGACGACAGCCAAGTTGCAGAGGCTGGCTGAACGTGAGTAGGAGCTACAAGGTGGACAAGCAGGATGTCTAACTTGAGTCTGCCAGTGGCCAAACGAAAGACCCTTTTCGATGACAAGCCGGTCGAGATCTCAGAATTGACATATGTCATTAAGCAAGATCTCGCTTCCTTAAATCAGCAGATCGCCTCCTTGCAAGCGCTCACGCTCTCTCAACATCCGAAATCCAACCGGTCGAAAGCGGACCAGGAAGGAGAGCATAATGATAATGTATGTACACGGCACAGACAGAATCCAGCCTGGGCGATGCTAAGAATACTAGGTCGTGGTTATGCTGCAAGGCAAACTGGCGGACGTCGGAGCAAACTTTAAAGAAGTTCTCGAGGTTCGAACGAAGAACATCCAAGCGTCGCGCTCCAGGACAGAGAACTTTGTTTCATCGGTATCCTCGAAATCGCAGGCGGCCTTAGACACGCAACGGTCGGACTCTCCGCTGTACACCTCCGGCAGGAGGACTCCTCAACCGGGTGGCTCTTCCGACCTGTTGACTCTGGAGCCCTCGAATCCGTCGCCCCTCGGACGGCCGTCTATGCATTCCGACCAGCAATTGCTGGTGATGGAAGAGGCGCAAACGAGTAACTCTTATATCCAAGCACGCGGTGAAGCAATCGACGCGATCGAACGTACAATCAATGAACTGGGCGGCATCTTCGGCCAACTGGCGCAGATGGTCAGCGAGCAGTCTGAGATGATCCAACGGATAGATGCCAACACTGAGGACGTTGTGGATAACGTCCAAGGCGCACAGCGCGAACTAATGAAATACTGGACCCGAGTATCTGGGAACCGATGGCTGATTGCTAAGATGTTCGGAGTCCTAATGGTGCGTGGCTCTCCCGTCCTCTTCCAAATATTCTCTGGTACTAACTTGTAGTAGATTTTCTTCCTTCTCTGGGTATTGATATCAGGATAGAAATGCCCCTTTCTTTTCTTACTAATGTATTGTATTAATACGGATACTTTCCTTCTTGCTGTGCATGAACGAGTTATGCATGTCCCTTTTGAACGTCACCAGCCGTCTTTCTTTTCCAGGCGTGGCTAGATTTCATGTTCCCTTTATTTCTTTTCTCATTTCGCCTTGGTTGCCGCAGGTAAATATTGTTGAATTTATTCATAGATCCATGCCGGCCTCTGATGTATAGGCGTTGATATGGACCAATTACATACTTTCTTACCCCCAGATTGTCATTTTTCCTCCCATATAGAAGACCTAGAATATCCAGACCCAGATCATCCACACATACAATATAGCTTCTACCATAAACAAATAGAAAAAAAGTCACTCACAAAACTCACATCTCAAAGCAACGCCCACCCCATGCAAAACAGGCACCACCACCTCACCCTCATGGGGAATAGCCCCCCGCCGACAAATCTCCCTCTGCGCCGCCTCGAACCAAACCTCGCTCAACTTCGGCGGCGCGAGCAGCCCAGACGCAACAAACTCGCCCCAATCCCGACGCATCTGCCACATGAACTCCATCCGATTCGTCCAGGTGGGCGAGTGCCCATTGACACCAGCAGCAGCCACCTTGACCGACTCATCCGTCGCCGCCGCGACGAAGAACTCCATGATGCGCTCCAGGGTGGAGGTGGTCAGGAGGAGAGCGAGCCAGCCTCGGCCGAGGCGGCGGTGATGTCCGGGGCCATGAGGTGGCGGACGGACGAGCAGAGGAGGTGCATAGCGTGGTGGGTGGCGAGGAGGGTCTGGGTGTTGGCGAAGGGGGGCTGTTGGAGGATGGACTGCTGGGCCTGATGCCGTGAACTAGTAGCCCTGATTGAAGGCTGGGGTTCGGAGGCGTGAGTTTCAAGGAAGAAAATAATATATGCGCTGTTTCTTATTGTCAATCGGGGAGTGAGACTTTCAGGAATATTGTTCTACGACGTACACGGGAGATAGGAGACGGGACTGGAGGAGTCCGACGCCTTTGCTGTAGCCGACCTCTTTTTCGGTCTTCGAGGACCACGAGGCGTCTTTCACGAGGTGCTGGTGGACTACGTACTCGGCCAGGTAGTACGATAGCTTGATGCATGTCTTCCAGCAGCGGGTGAGGTCGGCTAGATACCCGAAGGAGTACTCGGGGAGGTCATCCCCGACCCCGGTGGAGGTGTACTGGGGTGGCGGCGGGGGGAATAGACTGGCGATGAAGGTTAGGTCGTCGCCGACGGAGGGAACGAGCTCATGGCCCGTCTCGGTGATATACTGCGATGGCTGGGTCCGGTGATGGAGATAGGCCTGGGAGATGGCATATTCGAGGCGAGAGACTCTGCGGCGCAGGATGCGACAGGAGAGCAGGAGGGAATAGATGTCCTGTAGCTCGCATTGCGCGAGGACTTTCACCAGAACGCTGTCTGGGAGTCTTCTCCAGATCGATTGCTTCTGGGTGCTGACACTTCTGAAGGTTTGGTTAGTCTCTGGGCTGGGGTTGTAGTTGTGGTGTCCACTTACATAGTCGACCTTCTCCGTAGCTTTGCGGTGGTTTTGGCCCTGTGTATGATGCTTCGGACTCGTTCGAGGACTGGGGGGCTCATGGTTTAGTCCCCCATGGAGGCATTGTGGTGGAAATCTCGTTATATGGATTGTTTCAGGTTTCAGGATGGGCACGTTTATAAGTAAGTTTATTGGCCCAATGGGCGATGATTATTCAGCTTAGGGACCAATTCACGTAACCTTTTGTTTCAGCGTTTTTTCACTTCTCCTCCCGTCCGCTTCAGTAGTTGAAGTGTGCGTTCTAGACTCCGCAATGGAAAAGAATAGACATGGCATGATTAAACCCGTTGATCGTCGTCCCCCGGGCCCCGTTTTAGTATTGCCTAAATCGTCATGGTGAAGAGTCGAATACACATTTTAAATGAAATTTTTTTTTTTTTTTTTTTTGGCAACATACGGCATTTAATTTACACGGCTTGGGCTGGCTAGTGATGACCCAAGTTTTATAAGTCTACTTCTATTGTCATGAGTTCCCGCGTGAGGCGAGTGTCTCATGACGAGTAAAACAGCCATTGGAGATAATCCTTAAGATTCCTAATTATACAGGATATATGGTGTCATTGAACCGCGGACGTGTGTCAGCGGCCGTGTTTGGGGAAGAATAGACGGAGAAGAAGGACATAATGGGCTGGATGGTGGATGACAATTCAGAAAGCATCCGTCGAGAATAATTCACTGTTTGGGAATTCTAGCTGGAAATTCTCCAGAAGATCGTCCCACTGGCCCCAATCTAAGGGGCTGTGGTCAAAATTATTTAGGTCGTCACCGGGATCAAGCATCCCAGCGTTACTGGGAATGGTCTCTTGCGTAGTTCGTCCTTGGGGGGTCACACTGGGTTCAAAGCTCGGCTGATGAGACGAGGTGCCTCGCTCCGATCTTTCAGACAATACCGAAACGATATGAGGACGGGGTAACAGATGGCGATTGCGTCGAGTACGCTCCTCAGAATGGGACTTCCAAGCTTTCAAAATCAGCCCCTGTATTGCAATATGAAGAGGGGTTTTGGGCCTGTTTCTCATCTGGTCATAATGCCGACTGTATATCCTGTCAATGAGGACCCACGACCTCTTGGTTTCTTCTTCATCTATGCGGGTCCGGAGCTCATATAGCGTATAAATCAACACATCCCACGGGATGTGATTGTCCACGTGCCACAGATATCGCTGTATGATCTCGTTGCTCTGACAATCCTCGAACCCTTCCATGACTTGCACGCATGTGGAAAAGACGAAATCCCTTTCCGCTAGTGATATGTGGTCTTTCTCGCCATACTGGCGGGGATGGTGTGCGGAGAATCTCATTTGGCATACAACATTCTGCATCAGTCTAGCCGACATGTAGTGTAGTGGAATGGATTTGTCGCAATACGACAGGAATTTCGATTCGAATGCGCGGCTCAGCTCCTCGATTGCTTGATCCTTCGCCTCATAAGACAACGCCGAAGAGGCCAAGAAACCTCGACCTCCGTGAGAGGCTCCGCCGGCCTTGGACCAGCGCCTCATCCATTCGCCAAATTCGCTCCGTGCAAGGACGAACATCATTTCTGTCGCGCCATGATTTTCGCGAGGCATATCCGTCATGCGTGGATCAAGCTCACTGTCATTTATGTTGGACGGGGGGAGGACGTCAACAGAAAAATACGGGAACTGCGAAGTGATGCCGGAACTTTGTGCCGTAGTGACATCTAATATTGATAGCTGTCGCCAAAGACGGCGGCGGATTTCCGTTTCGAAAATGGATAATCCAAGCTCAGATCCGTCTCGATGGAGTCCAATCCGCTGAGCCATTCGCACCGCAACGCCACATAAGGACCAAATGGACTGTGGGTCAGAGGACGCACGCATGGAAAGCTTGTACGACGACGTTAGCGTGAAGATCACGGCGTATCAGGGAGACGCCTACCAAATACAAAACAAATGCCTGGAGAACTACGGTTTTTGAGGTACGTAGAATGCCAGCCTTGGTAAAAGCTAAGCGAGCTCCGCGTCGGAATCTTGAGAGTAACAAAGCTTTGCTCTCTCCGTAAGTTTTTTGTACGTCATCTGCCTTCAGAGAAACCAATGCGATACAATATATTGAGAACATTAATGCCTCAAGCTCCTTGGAGACTGTGTTTAAGCTACCGCTGGCTTCTAGAAGCTGTTGCTGGACGGTTGGGCCGTGTAGTATCTTAATCAATGGATTGATATTCTCAAGGAAAGTTTGCCAAAGTTTAAAGATGTGTAGTGGAGAGGGGTGAAGTGCACTCAGGCTTTTCTTCACTGTTTCTCCCAAGATCAAGGAGACTTCGTCATCCACTCCCTGGGCAGAATGATTTGAATCGTTGTCGGATATGTCCCGTAACACATCCTCCGCCCGAGGAAGCTAGACCCAGAGTTAGATCGCAATACGAGAAGAAGTTAGGTAGGGAATCCTGACCTCGCCTCGGACGCTAGTCCAGACATTACTATCTTACCCGTTAGCCATTTATGCACCGCGGTTCAATCCAAGGTAGCTCAACCTGTCTAGATAGATGGATTTCCCGTCACCTGTGAGCAACATCCCTTGTTCAGCCCTGGAGCCACTGGGGAAAGCATTGCGTGTGGTTGCTGGATGGTCTAAGTGGCTGATGCGAGCTGACGCAGCGTTGTCTTGTCTAATAGGACTCTGATAGGGGAAGCCGCTGTGTCGGCGGTCCTCCGAGCGCTGCCTTTTGCGGCGACGCGGAGGGATATGAGTAGGGAAAACACACTCAGCGCCGCGTTTGATACAGGCAGAACAAGGATCATTGCGATCACACCTGACCTTTCTTCGCGCACAGACCACGCAAGAAGGGTTCTTGGGGATTTGGCTGTCAGCAGCCATTGGACTCTGCTGCACGACCACCGCAAGGTGGTCGTTGGGATCTGCCATGACTAATGGGTGCGCCGGATGGATACAGTATATCCCAACTACATTTGACTAATTAATCGAAGACGATGTGTTCGCAAGGCGTAGGAGTAGATGGATATGCAACATCCGCGCGGATGCAAGAGGGTGAATCAGAAGGCGGAGTCGAAGACGGTCCGAATTGTTTTCTCGTTCTGCCGCCTGGCTACGAACTACTTCCGAATCAAGCAATTTCCTAGCCCTAAGTTACGATGCATTTCCTGCATACATCAATCTGCTAAAGAAGAATGAATATAGGGAATTGTTCGTTCTCAATCTAGTCATATATATTCCGTATCTATAGTGCCTACCGCCTTGCGACCGCAATGCTGCCGCTGTTTCGTGTATTCTTCGCGACAGGTAATCGATAGAGATCGAATATGCATAGACCTATGTATGTACAGTGTTTCTTGACTTGACAAATATGAACTACAAATGAAATTTATTTATTGGATCTATGGGATTGACAAGTTGAAGAAATCTAAAAACATACGGCTCATATTACCATTACCCAAAATGGTCCTTTCGTACAATCGTGATCTACCGACTTTTTCGTTGAAGCGATAGATACGACCACGTCTTGGCAAAGGCGGGCATATTGAGTCTTTTCAGAATGCATAAATATCCGATAGAGAGCATTCACACCGTTGAGTGATCTATCATCAGTATTTCAGCCTGATTTGGTGCCCTACGGAGTGTTCCCCCTTTTGGGGCGTTCGCAGAGCGAAGCATGCAGCATTTCTCACCCCTCGTATGCAAGGGATGGCCAACTCCAAAAAGGGTCTGTGAGCTGAGGATCGGAGCCTATAGTTCAGAGTGTTGGTGTCTTCATTAAACCTTGGACTATTGCACGTGGAAGAATAATTGACGATTCCAAAGTTTGACAGTGCAAGGGCACAATGAAACATACGAAGGAACTGGCACGGCGATTTTGCCATGCTCCGATAGCATAAACCTTTTTTTTAGACAATGATTGCCCCAAAAGTTATATGTAGCACATTATCGTATTGCATGGTGGCTAGTTCAACTAGAGATGGCAGTGCTGCAAGGGTACATTGACTTGGATCTATCATTATTAACTCTGCGAGTGTGACAAGGATGAGTACGCCACCTCAATCAGAACAAAAGAAGTGATCTTGCTCCAAGAGAAAGCGCATACATATATGATCATTTTGGGGCGAGTCGTCATAGGTGGCGTGAATGAGAATACCTTGTCTCATCCTGTTGAGGAGCCTCGCCAAGTGGGCCAATGGCTGGGTTTCTCAGCAAGATACAGAAGGAAGCGCCGAGAAATAGCAAGCGTCACACTTGTCTGAGCTAGGGAAGTAGCTTATAGGAGCGATAAGCATGCACCATTCGTGATCCTGGTGTGTGAGGGGGGTTGTGGGGATAGTTTCTTGGGTAGTTTCATTGCTCTTGTCGCTTTATTGTACAGTTGAGTCGCAATGTAATTCTCTCATTCAATAATATCTTTGACTTTGATAGTAAACAAAGATAAAATAGTATGGTATATATCTTCGAAAAATGTTCTAGATGCCCGACCTAACGCTTCTCAGTCCGGATCACTCCGGCCAGAAGAAGAAAAACGGGGCTTGACGCCATAGACAACAAAGAGTGTGAGTGACGCTGAGCCGAGAATCTGCCAAGACCAATAATTCTAATCCTCCCCAGCATGGCTTGGTTGAAACCAAGCTACAAGCAAAAGAAACGAGGGGCAGTAGATACGCGGCGTGGGAGGCAGTGCTCTCATGTAGCCATAACGCTGGGTATAGCGGGTATAGCCAAACAACGAACCGCGGTTTGCTGGAGATCATCCCTGGGCCAAGTAAATTTAAGAGAGGCTGATAAGGAACTAGATAGAACTAGCGACCAACGCGGCTTCGCTTGTTTGCCGATCTTCTTGGCGCTTACTGGTTTCTTCACCCAGGGTCCAGAGTCCAGACGCGGCGATTGTATGTGTTTATTTCTTGCGGTGGGAACGATACGAATTGTATTCTTGACCGCGATTGTGACCGCTAGGATATTCCCTATTCCCATATGCTTGCCACATGTTTAACGCAGGATGACCGTCGATTTGGTTGTGTTCAGCCAACCACGTTGCATACTCTGGATGAGAATCCTGGTTGTCAATAGT